AAAATCACCCTTCCAAATGCTTCTGCGCCTCTTGATTTTTGGTCGTTCGTTCGATAGGAGAGAGCACACGCAGGCAAAATCAATATGTTCACTTAAATAAAGTGGAGGATGTGGATTCACTTCCCTTAGGACTCCTTCTTCTTTTCTGTAAACGTGAGCTAAACAGTTACACCGTTGTCCTTCTCTCAGTTTTGTTCCGAATTTTATGTGTTAATGAGGCATTCATTCAAGGACAGCTGTAGAAGCTTGTGGTAGAACGACGTTGACGGACGTTTGTTAAGGAAAGTTTCCAGTCTATTCCTGGAGCGTTAAATTCACCCAGAAGTAGTAAGTTCTCCTGCTTATATAACAACTAGTGCACTAAGCAATTCCATATCGGCGACTTCATTCGAGCTGAGAGACCGACTGGCGACACATATGTTAAGTGTCGGTAACTGTCTGATACATATCTTGCATGACATTATTTCAAAATTTTGCGGTGTCACATAGGATATTTCTCACTGGCAGCATGGAATTTCACTTGGCACATAAATTGCTGTCTCCTCCTTCTCCTCCTATACGTTGAAATCCGTCACAACGGAACACTTGGTAGCCTCCAATACTGACTTCGTTGACGTTTATTTCCCCAGTCAATCTTGTCTCTGTCAAGACAATTATGTGAAGCCTCTGTTCGGAGACCAGTAATCTGAGTTCATCTATCTTGTTGAGGAGACTCTGGCAGTTGGTGTAATGCATTTCTGGGCTGCAATCACTGACGCTCACAGCCTCAAAAGTTGGCATAATTACATTGACTAGGCTTTCAGAATAACGGCCATCGGCCAGAGAAATGTCTTTTTGACCTGAACCATTTGTCCGGTCTGGATTTGCGGGTGTGTTTCGTCGCTGCTTCTACGCTTTTCCAGCTGCGTTATCAGCTCTGCCATTTTCATTCGTTCTTTTGGCTCGTAATCCGGCTGGGAAAACTTCGGGATGCTGCCCCCGCCGAGAGGATTTTTTTCCTTGCTCAATTTCTGAGGAAATAAATGTGCGAACTTGGAGTAAATCCTTCGGAACAGACCTTCTCAGGCACGGTCCGAAATTGGATATGAATACTCGAGCTGCGGAATAACCGCGCAATATTCACAAACCGCCAACAGGCAGCCAGTACTATACAACTGCGTAACGCTTTACCGTACTGACAACTCAGGTATCAGCTCAAAGCCAAGACACACGCGTTTTGCCGACATATGGTGCGTTTCAGCACTGCACTGCAGTGTTGAAACGCACTGCAATGAGCCGGAAGACAAGATTGCCGATCTACAATACCTCCGACGGGTCTTCGAAGCCAATGGCTACCCGCGGAACTTCGTCAACTGATGCATACACAAAAGGGACGAAAGGCCTAACCGCACAGACACCATAGTTTGGCGAGCGCTTCGATATGACAAGAACGTTTCGGAAGCTGTCGGCCGCCTTCTCGTACCACTTGGGGTTGGAGTTGCACACAGACCGGAGGCAACCATCAGGCGTCAGGTAATGAAACCGAAAGACCCACTGCCACGGCAGGAAACGTCTGGAGTCATTTATTGGATCTGATGCAGTTGCGGACAAAGCAACTAGGTCGGGAAAACCGGAAAGACAACTCCAAACGCGAATGGCCGCACACGCTGCAGCGGTGTGGAGAAATGACGATAGCTCTGGAGTTGCGGCTCATTTGACGGGTTCCGGCCACACATTCAAGTTTGACGAGGCCGAAATTCTCGCAAGAGGTGACAACCGCGTGAGCCGGGAGCTGCTTGAGTCATGGTTTACTAGCCCTCAGTCTATTAACAAGTGCAATGATCTTCCCATTCAATACTCCGTGCTGAGACTTCGCCTAGGCGGAGTAATTGGCCACGCGGGGAGCGCACAGGTGAACACTCTTCCCAACACCCGGGTCGGCGTGTCAGATGGTCGAGCAATCATCACACCAACATCCAACGCACGTGATTAAATTGCTGCAATTAACGACGCAAATGTCGGCCATCACGCCACGTGCAACGGTCTCTGATGAAGGGGGAGAGCCGTGATTATTTATAGGTATGCGGTAGCATGGCTACTGCATCCTATAAATACTGCAGCCGCATATGCATGAACCACCCTTATCTGCTTTTGTCTATGAGGATGGATTCGAGCAGGAATCCGAAATGTCAGGCTAGTAAAGCTCTTGCCCCGGCGATTGTGTCTTCTTCTTCTTCTCCTTTTTCAAGACTCCTTCCTGGGACTCGTCTCTTCGCTTCTATTGGCAATACATCCGGCACAGCGTTAACAAAAAGGCAAAGTAAAAGCGGGCCGGGTACAGTACCCTGAATTGACTCCGCTCCTCACACATGTGGGATTGGAGATAGCATTGGAAGTCTTGACTCGCTGTGTACAAGCGCCCAGGTAGGAGGATATAAAATTCAAAAGTTTGCCACCTATTCCGAAAGAGGACAGTTTCGAGAG